CGAACCTCGAAAAAGCCAGGTCGAATGATTGGTGATGAAATCGCTTGGAAGGATAAGCAGTGATCTGCATATCATCTGATATTGAAAAGTGCCCCAGACCACGGTTGAATACCAACATGATTTTGAGTGGGACCATGTGCGTGGCACATTCTACAAAGGGATCGATCAACACTGAGTGTCTAACCTCTCACCGTTATCGACACTATTCTTGCCACAAAAGATAAAGCATATCTTCGGAGGGATTCCCCGTTAGCAGGATTCACTTGGTTCAATTTGAATACAAAATTGAATGGAGTTTGATTTGCCAATAAATAGAAAGCAAAGAAAACCCATAAACACGCCAAAAATAAATAAAAAATTTCTCTTGAAGCTATTCTAAGGGCTGTACGAGGCTACACTTAAGAAAGATGGCGCTGGGATCTACCTGCGAACCCAACTTGACAAAATGCTCGAAATTTTTGAGGGAAAACTTTACCTTCCGCATCTATTTGGCTCCAAAGCTCTTTTAGAGAGAAGCCAAGAAGTAAGTGATGAATATGCTGAATTCTTACAAGGGAAGGTTTTCAGGGCAAGGTGCGCTTTTTGGAAACGGTTTAGTACATGTTGTAGGGACGCATGTATGGACCACAAAACCATGTTTCGTTTTCGCTGAACGGTTTTAGTAGTACCAAAAAAGTGAATAATACTCTTGATGGTTCAATCCCCGCGGCGACTAAATTTTGCAATCAAGGTTGGCGGCCACTTGTTGGCTTCAAAATGGTCCTGACGATGAATTTGACATCTGATTTTGATATTTAGCGCGATTTGGCACCAAACCGTAGGCGCCAACCCAAATGCTAGTTTAGTTTAGAGACGTTGACGACGAGTGTGGGAAATATGATGGAGGGGTGGTAGACACAGGTACCATCTGCTTTCGAAAACCAGTGCGCGTTGAGTCAGACAACACACCACAAACGTTGACGGCCTCCAAGTAATCTTGACTTCAAGTGGTTCATAGTGATAGCTGATAGTTGGTAAATGATAGTTGTAATTAGTGACAACTGATAGAATACAACTGCAACAGGCTAATCATTTCATTGGCAGAAAAACATTTACATTTTGTGAAAGCCGTCGCCTTGTGGTGTGTGGTCTGCACTCGATGTGCACCTTGGTCTCGGAAATAAAGGGGTCCTGTTGCTGGGCATACATTCGGAGCGAGAATTGCAGGCGAATAAGCCTCTAACTGTTTATTCTCAATTAAGTTCAATAGTAGAGGGGACGGTACCATTCAAATAAACGTAGAATGTGCCTTCAGAATGGGGAAAAAAAGGTCAGCGCTGATCAATTCTACCAGGCAAGACATGCCCCTAATCTTACGTCTGTAACACACAATGAAAACGGACACCTTCGTAACTGTCGGTGATCGCTTTTTCTACATGCCAAAATTCTCGATTACCGACCCAAAAAAGCGAAAGGCTTGGTTGATACGGGGCGAAATCACGAATTTTGAATATAATAATAATTTTTCTCTTACCAAAACCCCATGACAATCCAATTACTTCGAAGAATACGACAAATAACAGCGCATAACCGCTAGCACCATAAGTGTCGAGTAATTGTAGCCAATAAGCTCCAGCCTAAAAACGACCCATGTAGGGAAACCAGTTGACAAGACGTGTCTAATGATGGCAGCACTTTACATTTGTCACCATAGGGATTCCGATGATGAAAAATATCAGACAGGTCACAGCAAGTGAGACTTTTTTGTGCCGTCGGAGTATGAACGGGAACGCGTCCTCAAGTGCGGTAAACAGACCTTCCATCATACACACCTAAAAAGGTTTAATGAGGAAAATTTTTGAGAAGATGCTAAAACTGATTATCTTTGCATACCTGGCTGTCCAATCCGAGAATGGTGATCATGAGGAAGAAAAGGCATGACCAGACTTGTTTAGCTGGTAAATTACTGGCCACTTCTGGATACGCGAGAAAAGCCAATCCGACTCCTTCAAGGAAAATCTTTGAGAAAAAGTCATCATAATTAAAAGTGATGAAAATCTTGAGGAAAAAGGATCCTATTTGCGTCGACTTCTACAAGTCTAATTGCGCAGGTTTAAAAGCTGCAGTTGCGCCGTCATGTATAGGGCTATTATGTCGGGTATTGTGGCTAGCAATTTCTGTTCTAGGGAACATAACTGACGAGGAAAGGTCACCAGGCCGGTCCGGCCATTTGCAATGAGGTGTATACCTACGCATTCGTCTTGAGACGATAAGCTAGAAACCGCTTTTCTTATCTGCTAAACGGTGCTCTGAACGGAGTTACGGAAGTTTTCCCCTCAACACTGTACTTAAACGCAGTATATGAGCGCTATCATTGGAGTCGCCACTATAAGCCAAGCGCGGCACGACGCACACCGTGGTTGACGTGGCGTAAGTGGTAACGCTCCAGGATTGTAGGCGAGAGGTCATGGGACCGGTCTCTAGCGTGTTTTTTGCCCATTTGAAAACATGACCAGAAAGGCTTTTAGCGACAGTATCTCCTCAATTCCTGCCTTTACCTGCCTGTGTAAGGAGTTAGGGAGCACCTCTGCGCAGGTTGAAAGCTATTTTTAATTAATATTTGCCATGACTGAAAACGACGCTCATAGCCCACTGATAAGGTGTTTTTGCGGTAAACGAGTATGATATTCGTGTTCAGGAGACCGAATTTTCCCTGGTTACAAGTTTCCAGCTGAATCTGAGATTTTGACCTACACTCGAGAAAGGGCAGTCAAAAACTAACTGGAAAAGCACCTTCCCTGAATTTTGATGCAGAGTCATGTAAATCATTTCCATTATGCGGAAATGTGAGCCGTTGAACGTTTCTCTTTTCAAAATCTTGGTTGGAAGGGCAATTTCCATGCAAAAGAGTTCAACGATAGGTTGATGATATGATGGTTGACTCACCTCATTTTTTAGGGTTGGGTCAAAATCTCAGATTCGGTAGGAAACTTATCTCCAAGGGTAGTTTGATCTCCTGAACACGAATATCACGCCTGTTTGCCGCGAAAAAGCCTGACACGTGCATTACGGGCACCATGTTCATACATGGACGACTACTGCCCAAACCTGCAAGGAACTGCTCGAAATTTTTTCGTACAGGGAACTAACGGCAAAGTTGATAAATTAAGAAGTTAGAAGCTTTCTGGCTACATCTTCACGAAGCACAAAAGAAACAGACTCTCCGAGGAGCCGTTCCCACGACCTCTTGCTCGCGAGTTCGGGGCACTGCCACTGCGCTTCCTTGCTTTATAACTACGTTCAGAGAATCGTTTAGCAGATAAGGAAGGCAGTTCTGAGCTCAGCGCCTCGAGGCGACTTCAACGGTATACGACTCATTGCAAATGGCCGGACCGGCCTGATGACCTTCCCTCGTCAGGTGAGATGGTTTTTCCTCTTCTCTTTTGAATAGTCGCTCATTTCATTGCTTTGAACGGCTCGACACACAATTTGAAACCACATACAAATAAAGCACGTTGTCAAGAGTCATCAAGAAGCAACGGCGATTAGTATATGCTGTACAAAATTCGCTCTCAAAAAAACTTAGAGAGGCAGAGGTCGCGGGATCAACTTGATGTGGTAATTGTGCTGTTTTGAAGTACAGGTGGGGAATTTGCAGGGTAACAAGCAACAATGAAAAACGAGAACCGAAAGCTCGAACATGGGATTGAAAATAAAGACTGCCTATCCATATGCGCGATGAGCTAACACACTGTTTAAGACTCTGTCTATGGTGATGAGCGGGGCATATGGTGAGTCTTTGGGCGTGAGCGACTCAGCCTTCTCAAATCTTGGAAGCGAGTGTGTGCGCACTGTCTTTGCACCACACAACACAAGTTTCGCGCAAGAGCTTCTGCTTATAGCTTTGGTGTCGAAAAATGCGGAACTGGCCTTGATGTGACATTTCTGGACTAGGAAGTGCACTCGCACACCCAACAGAATGTGGTTTATTGTAGAACAGCGGATGGAACCATAGGGCTCAGTTATTCTACGACCCCCCTGCTTTTGTACATTGCACGCGCTTATGGCAACGAAAAACTGTTTGCCGAGAAGGAATGAGCCTGAAGAGACAGAGCAAAAAGACTTATTAAACGAAGACAGCGGAGTGGCATCGATTCCAAGTTGGCTTAACTTGCAAAGGCTGGGCTCAAGCAGATCATATCCCCTTGTCTCATTCCCGTGCTCCATTTGAGCCCCTTATTGAGCGCCTCACATCCGATCAAGTCTCTGCGCTCGTGGGCAGTCCACTCAAATAATTGAGAGATTTTCATAGTGAGCAACTTAAGAAAGGGTGCTTTGGAGAAATCCTGCGTATTTCAGTGATCTCATCGACTGGACGTAGAGTTTTCCAAAATAGAAATGATTCAGTGTCTTTTAACATGTGGGATTTCCTTATTATTGTACCTGGCTTCACGATGTCTGCGATGTCCTTCTGGGCGATGACGGACATGTAGCCAAGAATGGAGAACACAACGAAACCAGCCAGAATCGATGTACAGCCATTGATGACGCACATTATAAATGCGTCCCTAAATTATACATAGTAATTAGAAAGAAGTGTTGCAGTACGGTGGATGATGAGTTGCCAGTGACACTTTAAAGGACGAATTCACGATGAAAAAGCAACCCATTTCAAATTAACCTAGGGATGGTGAGTGGTACACGAAAGAAGGAAGAACCATGAGAAACGGCCCAGAACCCGAGAAATGGTACCCCTTCCTTGCCCGTTGATTCGAGCATTGATGCGACTCTCATCGCTGTGCCCTCTTCAACACTACGCTCTCTCAGCTATCTAATCACTCGCCACGTATTGAACTACGGCGAGTGATCAGATGATCGGTGGGCGGAGATCGCCGGACCCGCCAGCTTTGAGGCATGATAGGTCGCCGAGGTCAAATTTTTCCATGCGAATTGCGCGTCAGTTCGCACCCTCAGGAGGTCCGTGGGTCCCTCAACTAGGTCAGTTTCCCTTTCTTCGACCTTCATTCTAATCGTGAATTCCTCCTTTAAGGGATTTGCGGCTGAAAGGCGATCCATTTTCAGATCAAGTTAAGGATGGTCAGTGATACAAGAAAGAAGAAAAAATTATGAGAAGAGCCGGAACCCGAGAAATGGGACCCCTTCCTTGCCCGTTGATTTCCGCATTGATGCGACTCTCATCGTGCCCTCTTCAACGCTAACTCTCTCTGCTATGTCGGTGGGCGTACCGCGCCAACTGCGCCAAGAGTGAGCCATGCTAGATCGCCGAGGTCAAATCTTTCGCTGCCAATTGCGCGTCGGTCCGCACCCTCAGGCCTGTCTCCCAACTAAGCAATTTTCCCTTCTTATACCTTCCCTCTTATCGTGTAATCCTCCTTTATTGATCACATTTTTCGATAAAGTACTGACAACAGCTTGCTCTTGGGCCTAGAACCACATGGTAGCAACAGTTGACGTAGCACTTCCTATTTTGAGTAAACGTACCGAAGTGATGTACCGAAGTGTAAGGACTGTAAAGTATCACCTGAAGCAATTGTGGTTGAATTTATTGTGAGATCCAAGGGCAATCAGCGCACCGAAGCCAACGCCATACGAGTAGAACACCTAAAATAATACTGTTGAAATCATTGCAGGAATTGTGCCCAAATAATTTCAAGACTATTCGAAGCCCCCCCCCCCTATGGGAAGCCTTAGGTCGCACTGCTGACCTGTGTTCCGGCATCCTTCCACACTGTGGTGTCTGTTAAGCGGGTGAGATTTGGCGCGAGGTAATAGTATATTCCTGAATACCGAAACAGAAATACAAAGTAGAAATTGAAAGTAAATAGTAGAGGAGGGACTCGACAATCTCACCTTTACCAGCACCTTCGAGCGTTAGTCCACGTATGAGTAGAACGATGAGAAGGAAGTACGGAAATAGTGCGCAAAAGTAGACGAACTAAATGAGCAGTTAGAATTTAGTAGATAGAGATTTTCGAGCTTTAGGGGGAAAAATCCCCAAAGCGTCCGGAAATTTCGTTCATCTATTTGAGCTCTACTGAGCGTTTTTTGAATTGTAGCGCTTTAATGATAGCCCTGACCTGATTGGGAAAAATCTCGAGGAAAATTACCCACCTTTCTGGCTTGCGTGATTCCTTTCCATAGGGCAAAATATACAATAACCCAAGCGAGGAACATAATCGCCAGCAGCTCCCACTGTATGCCTCCAAAGTTTTCGATCGACGACGTCTGCTGTAGTACACGGTTTCTGAACGATTACTGTGGATTACAGTACTCCTATTCAAGTCATGGATTATGACTAGTAAGTAGTTAGTTACTTTCACTTACTCCCAGAATTGTTCCACGGACGTTTGCGTCATCATTCCCATACTGGTGAGATTTCGCGAGAGTTTCGCTAACGCGGCTGGGCTCTCTTTTCCCGTAACACACGTGTGGTCGTTCCTATTTCACAACAAAAAATAGAGAAAGTATACTAAAAGAATTTTCGGAAAAATTATACCAGTAGTTATCGCATGTTTCCCATGGAAATACACTGGCAAACGACGAGATCATATAGAAAATCGCCCAGCTGACGATCACACAGAAATACGCTATACACATAAAAGCGATCACAACATTTCCGATACCAACGCCTGAAAGAGCTTTACTATTGAATTGCACGCATGTCTGTAATAGTTG